AGGAATTTGTAGGCTTAAACGACAGAATAGCTGTACTCAACATACTCCTCCCAGGCTACCCAGAACAATGGACACTAATACAAATCTATGCACCAACAGAACAAGCCGATGAAACAGAGACGGAGCTCTTCTATAACACTCTAGCGGACCACATAAGAAACAATCAAAATAAAAACACTATAGTCATGGGCGATTTCAACGCCCAAATCGGTACTAGACAAGCCTACGAAGATTTTATAATTGGAAAATATGGCCATGGCAAAAGAAGCGTGAATGGGCAACGACTGGCAGAATTTTTAATGGAGAACAACTTATACCTAATGAACTCTAAGTTTAAGAAGAAAACAAAATGCAAATGGACATGGGTCTCCCCTGATGGAAAAACTAGAAATGAAATTGATTACATCCTATCGAATAATCCCAAAACCTTTGTCGACGTAGACATTATTCAAAATCTTAACTTTAATACTAACCACAGAATGGTTCGTGGAACTCTACTTCCAAAAGACATTAAAAAATCAAGAAAACATATACACAAAACTACAGGAAAAGATTTTAAACACGAAAATATTCAAGAAATAAAAACTAAAATTAACTCCTTAGCAAAAAATGAAACCTACAAAACCCTACACATTACAGAACAATATAACAGCCTAGAATTACAACTGACCAGCAGTGTTAGCAACATACAACAAAATGGAAAAAATAAATCAAAAAAACTCAGTGACAAAACGCTAAAACTACTTGCAGAAAGAAAAGAAATGATACAAGAAGACAAGAAAGGAAATTTAAAAAAAATTAATAAACTAAGCAAACAAATACGAGAGCATATAAGGAATGACCAAAGATCTAAGAGACTAAGAACGTTGGAAAATTACATAGAAAAATCTGGTGGCACAAGAAAGGCTCTGAAAGTACTACGAGAGAAAAATGACTGGATTCCAAAATTGAAGAAAGCAGAAAAGAGTTTTACTCAAAGGAAGGACATTCTAGAGACAACAACAGACTTATAAGACACTTTATTCCGATCAAAGTAAACAAATAAACTATGAGACAAATGCAAACAACAAAAACAAAGTGATAAACCCTTCAGAATATAGCACACAAGACAAAGAACCTGATATTCTACAGTGCGAAGTGGAAAAAGCAATAAAAAGTCAAAAACTGGATAAAGCTCCTGGACCAGACATGATATACAATGAACTACTAAAAGGTACCATAGAAGAGATAAGCCCACTATTAACAGATATCTTCAACAAAATAGTTAACACAGGCATCATCCCACAACAATGGAACATATCGCATATAATATTGATCCATAAAAAAGGCTCTAGAGAGGATGTCAATAACTACAGACCCATCAGCCTTATGTCTAATATCTATAAAATATTTTCAAAGGTACTTCTCAACAGGATATGTAAAAAGATTGATGAAAATCAGCCAGAAGAACAAGCAGGCTTTAGAACCAATTACTCCACTTTAGATCATATTCATACCGTAAAACAAATAATGGAAAAATACAGAGAATACAATCTACCACTATACACCGCCTTCATAGACTACAATAAAGCCTTTGATAGCCTTAATCACAACTATATGTGGAAATGCCTACAACAAATGGGAATAAATAATATGTATTTGAATATATTAAAGGAAATATACAACCACAGCAAAGCAAGAATCAAACTAGAGAAACTAGGAAGCATCTTTCAAATCAGCAAAGGTGTTAGACAGGGTGATCCTATCTCCCCGAAAATATTCCTAGTTGCTTTGGAAGGCATTTTCCGAAATATCAGCTGGGATCAAGTCGGTATAAATATTAATGGAAGATTACTTAGCCACCTTCGCTTTGCGGATGATCTGATTCTTTTGAAGAAAACCCAAAAAAACTGCAGGTTATGATTGAAATGCTTACAAATGAAAGTATCAAAGCTGGACTAACCATGAATACAGAAAAAACTAAGGTGATGACAAACTCTATCAAGACAGAAATCAAAGTGAATGGAAAGATATTAGAGTATGTAGAAGAATATGTTTACTTAGGGCAAATAATCTCTCACGAAGACCAAATGTCTAAAGAAATACACAAAAGAATTGCTAATGGCTGGAGAAAATACTGGGCAATGAAAGAAATAATGAAGAGCAAGGCTATGAATATAGGTCTAAAGAAAAAAGTATTTAATACCTGTATACTGCCCTGTGTTACATACGGATGTGAGACTTGGTCCCTTACACAGTTACACAGGAAAAAACTGTCAACATTCCAGCATGCAGTTGAAAGAAGTATGCTCGGCATCAAGAGGAAAGATAAAATTCGAAACACCGACATACGGCGTAGGACAAAACTAACCGACATACTGATCAGAATAGACCAACAAAAATGGAGGTGGACAGGACACTTGATGCGTTCTTCTTCTTCTTCAAAGAACAAATGGAGCAACATCGTCACACACTGGTATCCACGTAACGGCAAGAGAAGTAGAGGACGGCAATACAGACGATGGGAGGACGAGCTAAAACTGACAGCAGGCCCAAACTGGAGGAGAGTCGCCTTGGACTGTTAATATGTTAATATTCTAAGGTTTCGATATTTGTAAATATGTGAGGAACATGTATACTAACTTTTTTAGTATAGTAGTTTATTCTAAGAGTACATTGTCTTCACATATAATTATTTAACAAATGTAACAAAATATTGTAAACCTATTTTAATAGAGTAAGTGTGGAGTTTCTTGCCCATTCTTCTCCACACGAAACTACCTTTTGGAAGGGGCAACTAGAATCATCTTTATATTTTTTTTTTTGACGTTCAAAAGTGCCATTTTAGATGGTCTAATTGAAATAAACGATTTGACTTTGACTTTGGACAGAACACAGTGGAAAGAATTGGAGGAGGCCTTTGCCGAAAGGCACACTGTAATTAGGGATATTTTATAATTTTAATTTATATATACTAACTTTAAAACTTACAGTAATAAAGGCTATTTTATTTTATTTTTATTTTATTTTATATTATTCAAAGTACAATGTACGAGTTTATAATATTATTGTTATATACTGCTAGCTGGTTAATTTTTTTATAGCTACTATTCATGAAACATTTTATTATTTATTAATTTAACTAGTAGTATTAAGTATTAATTTATATAAATTAAATAAATAAAAATAGCTAGAAAACACAACATCAAACAGGCCATGATACTTGGTTTACAATCTAAAAGCCTTAGGTACAAAGTGCGACAGTAGGAACCAGTTATTGACAGGATTTAGGTGACTTTATATTTATGTGTACAAATAAAAAGGTAAGAAAGGTAAAGAAAAATTACTATACAAAAATTAAGAATTCTTTTTTTAGTTTCATCAAAATATAGTAGTAGTTTAAAGATTATATTTGATATTTTTGTTAGTTGGCTTTTCATCTAATGATTCTGGTAAGGAGTTAATTAAATTTGGAATTATATAATTCATGTTTTCTGATAGGTTATTGTACGTAGGCAGCTGTTGGTTATTATTGGTTTTTTTCCATGAGCAATAGTATATATTAAAGTAAAGTTTTGTGCAAAATAAATATAGTTTAGAAGTGTAAATAATTTTTTTTCATATAATTTGGTATAATTTTACACAGCGCAAATAACATCCAATAGTCTTTATATTGATATTTTAAGTTAGTTGGGATTATTTCTTTAAAAATTCTCAGTTGTATGGGGAATATACAGTCAAGATTGGTGTTATAGGTTCTTCCATAGCTGAATAACCCGTAAGATATAATAGATTAAGCCAACACTTTATAAAGTAGTAAAAGTGTTTTATAGAATTATGCTAGAATTGCTCTAAGTCATGAGTCAAACAAGTGCATACATCTGCAAATTTATCAAATGAGGATATGGATTCTTCTTTTTCTTGACCATACTTGGTTCAGTCAAAGTAAGTAGTATGCTGTACTTAGAGATAATATACAAGGATTATCAGATTTCAAGTAATACCCATTTATATCTTTGCATTAAGAGTCCTTGCACTAAAGTAAAACAAGGCAAGCATGTTGATTGATTTAGTTACACCACTATTATTAAATTATGTTACATGTTAGTCTTCAAAGTGTAAGTCATGTCATGTAAACTAATAAGTTAGTAGTCTTAAAACTACTAGTAAAACAAAATTATTATAAAAATGCTGGAGTTAGACCTTCTCAAAAGCCTTGACTAGTTCATTAAACCAAGTAAGTCTTCAACTTCAACAGGATCTTAGTAGATCGGAAATTTATTACAAAAAAAATAAACTATCCTTAAATATTGGAAAATGTAGTAAAATCACTTTAACTCGCAAACATAAGAAAATTCAATTTTGTTATAAAATAAGAGATACAACAATTAAGCAGGTGAATTTGGTTGGAGACTTGGGGAAACTACTAGATGATAAGATGTCTTTTTCAGAACATATAGATAATATAACAGAAAGAGCATATTTAAACAACTTGGCTTCGTCAAACAAGTATGCAAATCTTTTAAGAATATAAAATGTATAAAATGCCTGTACTTGCTTTTGTTAGGAGCACATTAGAATATGCATGCACTGTTTGGTCCTCAATCTACACGAAATACATTGAAGCAATAGAGAACATTCAAATAAAGTTTCTTAAGTTTTAAGGATTTCCAAAAGTATAGTAGCTATATAGATTCCTGCAAGTACTTTGGTATTGAATTATAAGAATGTAGTCGTAAACAATACAACCTTATGTATTTACACGCTCGTTGCAACGGTTTAATTGACTGTCCTGACTTATTGTTGCTTGTACTATTTCACACCCCTTCTTCATACAATACAAGGCAAGCCCAACTATTTAAAATTCTTCAGTCTAAGTGATATGTATTGACCATACTACAGAATATTTCTTGCATTAATTGTTTAATATATCTAGTTAACTATTTAAGGAACGAATTATTTTTTAATAACCCACATTAAATTCAGATAGATTAATCTTTATATCAAATAACAAGCCATAC